CGGTCCCCGGTGCCCAGACCCCGACCCGAGGGCTGCCCACGCCGGGTCCTCTGGGTACACACAGCAGCAGACACAGGCTTTTATTTTCAAACTTTTTAATGATGGGAACAAAAAAACACCTAAAACCGAAGCTTCTGGAAAAACCACTTGTTCTTGCCGGTCTTGTACCTAGAAGGGAAAAGAAGAACGGTGAAGGGTGACCCCTTTCCAGCAGGGGCGCCTGCAGCCCCACGCACGGCGCCGCGGCCTCCTACCTCTCCTCGAACTTGACCTTGGCCTCCCTGCGGGCCTTGCGCTTCAGGGCCGGGTCTCTGAAGACGTCCTTGTTGACCACGGTCTTGTCCAAGGGGATGTCCACAGAGTACCTGGGGACAAGGGGGCAGGGTCAGCCGGCCCCGCGCACCCCGGTCCTCCCGGGAGCTCTGTAGGAAACTCCGCGACTCTGCCCCCCAACAATCTCCAACCACCCAGGAATCGACGCAGCCCTGGCGCTCGCTGTGCGGGGGGCAGTGCGTCGGCCCCAGAACACCCGGACCGGCACCTCGAAGAACACGAGCGGGGCCTGCCCGCTTCCAGTCTCTGAAACCGGGACCGGGTACCCTGCGGCCCCGGGTCTCGCCGAGCTTTCGCTTTGTTTTTTGGGGCAGGGGCCCGACATTCCCGAGTGAGAAAGCACAGCAGGCAGAGCTGAGCCTCGGCTGAGGGGGACAGAAGCCAGGCGTCCCCCTTTCCGGGGAGAGGACAGCGCTCACCGCGTGGGCATGAGGTGATTGTAGTTATAAACCTTCACGAAGGACTTGATCTTTGATCTCTTGGAGATCTTCTTCTTGCCCATGGCGGCTGTCACTTTTCGGGGGTAGCGGTCAATCCCGGCCACCAGGGCGTGGCTGTAGGGGCGGTCGGAGGTGCCGTCATCGATGTTCTAGGGTAGGAAGCATCACAGGGGTAGCGCCCGGGTCCCAGACTCTACTGCCACCAGAGAAAGCCACAAGTAGGCCAGAGGTCGAGAGTAAGAGACCACGTTGACTCCCACCGGGAAGAGTGGAGCGGCTTGGGACAGGGCATCCACCAGGCGCCAAACACGGGGTGCTAGGGAATCCACACCCGCTCGCCCCATCGTACTGTTAATGAATTCAGGGCAGCGCCAGGACACGGACACTAGCAGCCCAACGCCGGCGAAGGGGTGCATTCGTGTCCCCACAGCGCATCACCGGTGTTGTGGCTAACGCCCCAAAACCATAGGGAGACAGCAGATAGGCTCTAATATACTGCACGTGGTGATCATTTTTTTTTTTTTGAGAGTAGAAAGATCTGCGTAGCCCAGGGTGGCCTGGAACTCGCCGAGACCCTCCTGTCTCAGCCTCCCGAGTGCTGGGATGGCAGGCGTGTGCCACCAAGGCCGGCTGGGACCACTGTGCCTAGAAGCAGCTTCTCCTGTCTCACAAATCAAGCTACGGCTCCTGACGCCTATCCGACCTCAGGCATCAACGCCCTGGCCCTGCAGATGGCGGCCGCGGGAAGAAGCACGCCGCGCGGCCCAGGCGCCCAGCTCAACTCGCAGGGATTGTTTTCCGTCCTCCTCTGGCGGCCCCTGCCCCGGATCACGGCCCAGACCCCAGCCTGCCTCCCGCCGGGCCCCGGTACCTTCACGATGACTGCTTTGCGTCCGGAGTAGCGTCCGGCCAGCACCAGCACCACCTTCCCGGGTTTCATGAATTTGCCCATTTCTGCGGAGTAAGAAGGGGCCGCTCAGGCCTCCGTAAGGCTCCAAGCAAGCCCAGGCGCAGGCCCGGAGCGTCAGGCTGCTCACTGGCGTCCTATCCCAAGCCACCCGCGGGATCTGCCCGCAGGAACGGATCCGCTGCGTAGCCGCAGGGCACCTAAGGACAGAACGCACCGAGCAGCGGACTCCTCGATCGCGGATGGCGGCGGATGGGGAGAGCGGACCGAACCTCTACTCACCAACAGCACCAATTCCGGTCTACAGCGGAAAAGAAAGAAGTGCACTTCCGCTGACCTTTCACCCCGCGGAGCGGGGCACCACTTCCGGTCCCGCCCCTCAGACTTCGCCGCGTGGGTGTGTGGTGCTCAGGCTGTGTTATGGGCGGAAGAAGCTCACGAAGGGAAAGCAGAGCCTGGCAGGGCATGTATTTGAATCAAACTTTATTAGCAGCTGTAGCCGTAGTCTAGAGCAATGGAGTCCAGTCTCTGCCTTCCGAAGCGCAGAGAGGATGTGTCTGCACGTGGGCTTTCAGCTTTGCTGTCCCGTTTTGTTTTGTTTTTGGTACCGGGGATCGACCTCGGGTCCTTGTGCTTGCGAGGCAGGCGGTGAAACCACTAAGTTAAATCCCCAGCCCTTTGCTGTCCCTTTTTGCCTTTCCCTCTTCTGGCGCCAGGAGGGGGGCGGGGCACATGCTACAATTTACTTTTTTTTCCCCCTTGTACCGGGGATTGAACTCAGCACTTGCAAAGCAGTCGCGGTGCCACAGAGCTAAATGCCCGGACCTAAAATTTACTTTTTTGAGAAGACGAAAGGAACAAAATAGGACGTTTGACGATGCCTACCGTGCTCACTGTCATCAAGGAGTAGAGACAAAGATCAAAGGAGAGCCTTGGCCTGCAACATCCAGCCTGTCAGTGTCGCAGCTGCCATGGCTCAGGCCCTGCAGCTGCCAGGCCGGGCTGATGTGTTTAAACTGATTTGATCCTCATGAGGCCTGCGGGAGATCCCCGTTCTACAGCTGAAGGTACAGAGGTTTAGAGATTGGATTCCCCAAAGCCCAGGAGAGTAGGTGGTGGGGCTCGAACTCAGACCCCAGCTGGCCACCAAACACCTACTGTGTGCCACGCATGGTCCCCGTGTTCTAGTGAGCCCGTGGCCCTTTGGTTATTTCCCTCCCATTTAGACAGAGGGAACTGCAGTTCTGAGAGGATCAGTTACTGACCTGGGGTTGAGTTTACCCGTCCTGTAGATGGGATTCAGGTCAGGGTCTGAACCCAAGTCTGGTTGGCTCCCAAGTGCATTCCCTCCTGTCACTCACCGCGAGAGTTCTTCCTGATGGGATCTTTGCAGGTGGCTTGTGAGGTCAGACAGCACGCATGGCACCCTTGAAAATCTCGGGTTCTCTTTTGTGAACCTGGGGTGTCCTCCAAGTCCAAGAGGAAGACAGAGTATCTCGTGGTTCTTGCTCTTCTGAACATGTAAGGGCCTAAATTGGTCTCCTCTTGGGCAAGGTGTGGAAATATCCCCAGGTTTTTCTTTTTCTTAATTTTATTTTAGTTTTTTTCCAGTAGTGGGAATCAAACTGAGGACCTTGTGCTTGCCAGGCAGGTGCAGAGCTGCTGAGCTAAATCCCAGCCCCATTTTAGTTTTTTGAGACAGGGTCTCCCTATATACTTCAGGTTGGCCTTTAACTCAGTATCCTCCTACCTCAGCCTCCTGAGTGCTGCGATTACAGGTGTGCGTCACCATGCCTGGTTATGTCTAATTCTTTTCTGCTGTTTGGAACAGGGCACTGGAGGCAAAGGGACCTCAGTGATTGTCTACTCTGGCTTCTGAGGAGTTCTGGAGCAGCAGGAGTTGGCGGCACAGGAAGCTCTCAGTGTTCCCCCTGTGACACCGCACTCCCCTGCATGTCTGCCCCTACCATCTTCTCCCAGCCCTTCCATCCTTTCCTCTTTTGCTCTCTTGGAGAAAAATCCAGTAGCTTTGCAATCACCTTGGGCTGTGTGTGTTGCTAGGGATTGAACCCAGGGCCTCAAATGTGAGGCAAATGCTCTGCCAACTGAGCTAAATCCCAGCACACACACACCCCTTTTTCTTTTGATTGACTGGACTGGCCTTGCACCTTCGATCCTCCTGTCTCAGCCTCTCACACGGCTGGGTTATAGGTGTGCACTGCTGTGCCTGGCACCTTACAGCACACTTATACTGTGGGCCCTGCAGCTCTGTGCGCTGCACATCCAGAGATAGTTCGTGTCCGTTGCTGCTCAGTGTAGACTTGGGCTGACTCCCCCACACCAAGGACAGAGCTCTCCTCCTATACCCAGGTCTAGCAGGCACCTAGGTCTGGGCTGCTGGCAGGATCGTAGCTGGTAGTCCCTGTGGCTACACCTTAGGGTTTCGTTAACTCTGCAGAGCAATGTCCATTTGCTCACCTCCACCCGGCCCAGAGCTCTGGAAGCACAAATTTCTGGCAGTTATGTAGAAAGTACTTTTCCCTCTCAAAGAGAGGGTAAAACTGGGAGTGGGTAAGAGAGAGAGGGGAACAGAAGTCCTAGAAACAGCATCATGCAGTGAGGTATTGATAAAGACAGAGGCTTTGGGTGCAGGCCACATGAATTCAGATCCCTGCTCTTGTCCTCATGGGAAGCTGAAAATCCATGTAACTTCTCTGTGGCTGTTTCCTCTTCTGTAAAGTGGGGATAACAAGGCCCCACCCTGGAAGAAGTTAATTAGGATGACACAAAAACACTCCCCATTGTGCTGGTTGTGTTTTTGAGATGGTCTCACTATGTAGCCCAGGCTGGTCTTGAACTCAGTGATCCTCCTCCCTCAGCTTCCCGGGTGTTGGGATTAAAGGCCTGTGCCGTCATGCCTGGCTTTTGTGCCAACTGTTTTCTTCAGTGCTCGGGGGGAGAACCTGGGACCTCAGGCAGGTGGAGCCAGTGCTCTACACCCCACACTGTGCTCCTCCCCTGCCCTAGCAGTCTGAATGTACCTGAGCTTTTGTGAGGAGTAGATAAGGTCAAGTCCAGGGTTAGCCCAGGGCTCTGCCTACGGCTTCATTTGGACAAGATACCCGTTACCACCCTAAACGAAGGCCAAATGGACCTCAAATGCCAATTCCAAGAGCAGCACATGTGGCGGTAAACTGTCAATGTGACCAGCTTGGGGGCCACCTAGGGGTCAGTACAGCCCAATGCTGGGTGTGTCACGGAGGCCTGGCCTCGGGACTCCATCTGGTCCCTGGCCCCTTCCTCTCTGGTACTGTCCCCTATTCTGCTCTGCTAGGACATTTAGCCATATTTTTGCCTCCATGGAGCCAGCTGACCATGGACTCAATGTCCTGAAACTATGAGCCAAATTAAGCCTCTGCTCTAAGCTGTGGGAGCCGGGTGCTGCATCCTGGCAACAGGAAAGTGGCTGTGCAGGATAGGACTGCAGGCGAGAGCAAGACGGATGACGATGGCCACGGCACTGTAAGTGGATCTGTTCACACACACACACACACACACACACACACACACACACAAGCACGCACACCCACAATCCATATCGAGGGAAGCAGATGGTTCTCGAAGCTGGGAGCTGGGTCTGATGGGGGACGAAGCCAGAGAGATGGAGGCAGCAGAGCCCAGTACTCTGCAGAGGCTACACAAATTACAACGATTTTATTGGCAACCACAAATGTATCGTCTTCAGACTTCACAATGCCCCGGCCCCTTACACTCGCCCTGCCTTACAGGGAAATGGGACCGATTCTAGCAAAATATCAGTAGCGCATCTTAAGGTAAGTTAACACGATAGTGGTCACAATTTAAGTTAAAATGTACAACATCAAAGTGCAGAAACCAAGTGCAGCCAGCGATCTCACCCGTGACGTGATGCTGACCCGTGGTGCCTCCCACCGCCAAGAGTGACACTCTGGGGTGGGTGTTCACAAGGCCCTGGCAGGCACAGGGACCCGCCACAGCTCCTGTGCCCTCCGGAGGGCCCACCAGCCCATCAGACCTGCACGCTCTCCACTGAGGACTCCAGGGGGGACCTTGGTCCACCGCTTCCCGTGTCCTGTCCAGAGGCACGCAGAGGATACAGGATCTGACATCGTCACCTGCGCTGCGAGGGCTGCCTTGTTTCCACCTCTCCAGGGAAAAGGCTGGTGGTAAAATCAGCGCAGGGCCTGGCCTGACGCTGGGCTCGGTGGGAAGAGGAATCGGCACTCCAGGGGACCTTCAGTTCTGCCCTGTGCCCCTGACCATCTCCCACGTGGGATGGGAGCTCAGTGCCACTACCGCGGGGCCTCAGGACCAGCAGCTCAGCCAACCCCACAGCGACCCCCACCAAGTCCCTGAAACGCAGCTGTGCCTGAAGCAGACTCCTGAGACAGCGCGGAAGGCCCAGGCCTGGGGGTGGGGTGAGCGGAGGTTCAGAAGGCGTCCTTGATGTTCTTGAGCTGGCGCACAGCCAGGTCCACTGGGAGGCTGAACTTGAGGCCACTGAGGCGGCTCAGCAGCGTGAGGGCACCCTCGAAGCCCGTGCGGGCCATGTAGCTCCAGGGCTGATAGTGCGGCTCAAGGAGGGCCCCTGACTTGCAGATGAGGTTCACCCAGGACACCAGGCGCTGCTCGTTCAGTGCCATGCACACCAGCGCCTTCAGCTCAGAGTCCGCACTGCGCCTGAAGGGGCCGTGCTCAGTGAGCACCAGGTGGATGGCGCTCAGCAGGCTCTGCTTGGGGGTCACCGTGCCGCCACCCCCCACGGGCAGGGCGAAGGCCTGTGACAGCTTGCGGGCCGGCGAGTCCATGTAGGCGCGGCCATTCTTGGCCTGGTAGTACTTCACGAAGAGCTCCCAGGGGTGCATGGCCTCGGGGCCTGAGGACAAGGCTGGCAGTAGGCAGGCGAGCGGCGCCAGGACC